TCTCTCCCCTCCACTGTCCCCTCCTCTCCCCCCGCCCCCCGGTCTTTTTTCCTCTTTTCAACGTGGAAAGCTGTTGTTTTGCGACGGAGGTTCTACCACGAGGCGAGCGTTAGGGCCTCGCTCCCGCCTTTCACCAAATGTGCAAAATGAGAATGAATCTGCTGCTAGAACATGAGAAGGTACCCGCGGCCATGATTTTTGTCTTTTCTGCACATGGTGCGTGGTGGAGCGACGTTCTTGATCAAGACTGACTTTTTTTTTTTTAAATTCCTTTTTTTCCTTTTTTTTTTTATACTCTTATCATTGCCCGGGGAAACGCTCCGCCACTCACTAAACGTGCAAAATAAGAATGAATCTACTGCTATGACACGAGATGATACACCGCAATGATTTTTGTCTTTTCTGCATGTGGTGCGTGGCCCCTTAGATTGTCGTTTTTTTTATCAAGACTCTGACGATTCGGATCGCGTCCCTTCGACACAGAAGCTGTCTTTGTGGTGTTAATTAATGAGAGAGGTTGCGGTTGAGTGTCCGTCCGTCTCAGCTCTATGACTATAAATAATAATCAATGTACTACAGCTGCGCTGCATCTTACGTATGTATGTTTTGGCAGTAATCAATCGCTTGCTGCAGTGTTGCAGTACTCATCGGTTCTTCTTGTCAGAGTCTTCCTGATCCTTAGTCCTGTCTTGGATTACTGAACAAGTGCAGTCTTGATTTTGCTTCTTGCAGTTGTATGATCTTTGTCGCTTGTCTTCAGCGAGCAAATTTGGGCCCTGCTCCCCACTGTGACTCGGAAAATGTGAAATATGGCGAGTGTTCCCTTTTTCTCTTGGAACGGAAGGGGACACTGTCTTTTCTATTTTCACATTGCACGAGCGAGAGTAGTAGCGGATGGAAATCTCCTCTTTTCCTCCCAGGAATGCAGGAATGCATGCATGCATGCATGAATGAATGAAATGACGTTCGTGATTCATTCATACTCGGAGCAATCCCGCCTTCGCGCACTGACAGTCCTCAGGAAAAAAGATGGGTAGGGTGCATTCTTTGGAATTTTGTTGTTAGAACTTCATAAACAGTTTTTTTTTTTTGGAGTTTCATGACAGGGTTTTGAAGTTTGGGTACCGAGGACCTTGGCCTTAACCTGTCAGCAGTTGAGTCTCCCCCTATTCATCCATGCATCCATCATGTGCACCTACCACCCTACTCGTGTATCGAGGTTACCTTGCGTGGCAGTGTGCCTGCTGCATATGGGCCTCGCACCAGTACACAACACTCCACATGCATTTGAACGGTTTCTGAACCTGATACATTGAAGAAAATGTTAGACTCGTCCGGGTGCACCTGATCCAGAAGGCGTCCATATGCATGGAGAGTGTTGTGTAGTGGAGAGCGATATACCAGCAGCAATGCGCGCATGTACCAGCCCAAGACCGTACTTTTTGGTTTCGTTCAGTCGAGTTCGTTTTTTTTTTCTTTTTCCCCTCGTTTTTTTTTTTTTTCTTTTCCAGGAAGCTTTTACTCGAATCGCTGGTGTGGTCCCTTGTCGGTTTGAAGTGCTGCTTTACGAACCACCTCCTCCTCCTCCTCTTCCTCCTCCTCCTCCTCCTCCTCATCATCATCATCATCATCGTGAGTTACCAAAGAAGAAGATGCTTTTATTCTTTCCGCGTCTCCCTGCCTACCACTTTTTTTTCCTAATGTGGTACCTCGTCACCGGGTCGCATAGAACTACCGCTACTGGTCGCATGCATTCATGCTAACGCTTCTTCGTTCTCTCTTTTCTCTCCTTATTTCTATTCTAGAATATCTGTCTCTTATACACATCTAGATGTGTATAAGAGACAGGTACTAGTATGGCTCGTCTTTGCACAAGAAATTG